CAACCCCTTGTGATCACCATATTACTTTACTTCATTTTGCAGCTTTAGATAAAACTTGTGGATATTTTTATCAGCGTAAGCTCATGCTTTTATCGGTCTCGGAATTCATGTTTTCTATTACTTTGATATTTCGTAATTCGATTATCGTTAAGTTTCATTGACAATTTCGAGATAATTTTTGTTATTGTTTTTACTCCGAGAAACTTTCTTTCGTACGATTGAATCCTTTATGCGAGTCGAAGCGATTCGAATGGCAAAAGTCGTATTCGATTTTGAAATTTGTCCTGGATAGTTTGAGACACTCGCGAAACGCGGTACTTGTTATACTTTTTTTTTTTTTTTTTAATTTTTGTTAACGAGAGCATCTTCGTCTATGTTTACTCCCGTTTCACTGTAAAGTCTCTGGTCGAACTATTTTTTCTTTTCCTGATATTCTTTTCTCGTTTTCTCTCTCATTCTCTACCTTATTTTCCCCTTTAGTGCTTTCTACGAGTCTTGCGTCTCAATCCTCAAAAGTTCGACACGAACGGCCATTTGAATTCTTGAATAATTATTATTACAAATATATGTACACGATTATTCGGCTGAAAGGCGTGGCAGTGAAATTTGCCAGCAGTCATGCGTTTGCTTTGGTCAATTAGCAGCTGGAATCGTGCAGTGACGAAGTAAGACAAATTTTGTCATTTCAATTGACAAATTATTCATTTAATCGACCAATCGAAGAGAACATATTTCCTTGAAGTTCTCTGGCAAGTTATATCATAGATCAATAATGTCTAATTTAAATCAATATTTTTATATGGCTATCCCTGTTCGTGTAAATGCAGATGAGTCCGTCTCTCTCGCACTCACAGCTGATATAAGAAATTGTAAAAATCACGAAACCGACCGTTCTCCGATTAATCAATGGAATTGTTGACTCAGCTATAAACATGATATAAAACTCTTTCTTACTTTTTCATTGCATAAAGTTTCAAAGTGTCGATCGAGCAAAGCGATCAGCGTGACAGCTGTCAAATTTGATTGTTGCTTTTTAATTGGATAGCCCTGTATATATATGTACAAAAAGACATAACGCGTAGAGCATAGGGAGTTTTTTTGAATAATAAAATAAAGTTACATAACAGCGAGCCCACTTAGAGAGGATAAACGTTACGTGGAGAAATCTGCACCTTATTTTTTTGTTGTGTAACGAAAGACAAGAAAATCAACCTTGCGCGTCTTTCATGGGATGAAATGGAATTTAAGAAAAAAAATAAAAATAAAAATAAAAATAAAAAAGAAACGTAAAAAGATACGGTGCCGATGTCTCAGCTTAATTTATTTTTTTTATAGGCTCAGGAATCCGACAAGTGAAATGGCAAATTTGAACACCCAAATGTGCCCAGCGTCCCTTCCTTTGTCTCGTACGAGAGTAAAAACAAAAAAAGAAAACGGCCTTTCACAAGATATTCTTCTTCTTCCTCCTCTTCTTTACACGACAAAAAGGAGATCGAAAAGTATAACGAGAGTACAGACGAGACGTCCGCAAATTACGTACCGGGATCCTTTCCAAGGTAGATCCTTCTAACAAGTGGATCGTTTTTTAATTCTCGAGGAGCAGCCAGCCGACGAAGCGGCCAACGCAAGTTCGCCATTGCAGATTTTAACGTCCCATCTTTCATTCCATTAAAGTGAAAAATAAGATAATCACGTTGCGTAGTTCGGACGTGAGTCGATGGAATCTTCGAGGATATAATTTTGACCACTGGCACCGATGTAGAAAAGAGAGAAAAAAAATACAAAAAAAAAAAAGAAGGAGAAGGAGAATTAATGAAATTTGACTTTTCAGCGAGGACAGCACGTGCTAGGGAATCACCTTTATTTTTTGTGTATGCCGAGTCGTCGTTAACATTATTAAAGATACGACGGCGTCGATTTCATTCTAGCCTACCGAGATTACGTGTGATTATCATTAACGACGGCTCGGATTTGCAGTGACATTGAATTTCCAGCATGTAAATCAAGATAATGATTTTTATTTCAGCCCGTAAAGCCAAGCCAGTTTCTTGTCTCTTGGATTAAAGAAAAAAAGAAAAAAGAAAATCCAGCTCTTGTTTATCCGCAAAATTTTCATGCAACGCACGGATTAATCGCGTGAAGTCATCATGAGAATTGGTCTTGGTTCTTCAAGAAGCTGGCTTGAAGGAATAAATGAAAGAAAGAAAAGAACCGAAGTGCAAAGACAAAGAGAGACGTACAATACGGCGCCTCGTGATTCTCTCTTGAGACACGTGGAATCGTCGAGTCGCCAAATTGTAGCCTGCATGCCAGATATCGAACTAATACTAATAAAAGGAGAGAGAGGGAGAGGGTGCACAGTGATTAAAGAAAGAAAGAAAAAAAAGCTAAAAAGCAGCGCGCCATTATCTAATATCGATGATGTTTCAGTAGTACTTAAGAATTTATAAAATAAATACGCGTCGACTAGCCGTACGTGTGGATGATCTAACGCGTTCCTCCATTTCAGGTGAAAAAGGATTTCATAGCCATGTTGAGGGAGCATAAGGACATCGACAGGCATTCACATTGGGGCGACTGCAAGAAGAAACTAGAGTCCGATTGGCGTTACAGGCTCGTCGAATCGGCCAGCGCTCGCGAGGATTGGTTTAGGGATTACGTGAGGATCCTGAAGGAGGAACGCAAGAAGGAGAAGGAACGCGACAAGGATCATCGTCATCGCGACAAGGATCATCACAAGTCCGACAAGAAGGACAGGGATCGCAAGGAAGAGAAGTGCAAGGACAAATCCTCCAAGGATAAGAGCGACAAGGAAAACAGTGGTAAGGATAAGAAACAAAGAAAGAGCGAAGTTGTTGCCGAAGAAAATGGGAAAGACAAGAAGGACCTGACTTCTGACAAAGAGACTGGTGAGATCGAGGAGAACGAGGAGAAATCTGCTAAGAAAGACAATGACGTAAGTTGGACTTGCTGCTGGTCTCAATTTTTTTTTTTTTTTTTTACACCACGTCTTATTGTAAAATAGTACGTTGATTTCAATGCGTTGCTTACTACCTTCTTCTTGCTCCTGTTTTGCCAGAAGGACGAGGGCGAGGAGCGATCCGATTCTGAGGAGGATCGTGAGAAGCAAAAGAGAGAACGAGAGAGGAGAGCCGAGGCTAGCCTTCGAGAGAGAGAACGAGAGGTCCAGAGAACACTGGCGACTCATCTCCGAGATCGCGACAAGGAACGGCAGCATCATCGGCACACGGAGGCCGTTCAGCACTTTAGTGCCCTTCTTGCAGATCTGGTGTGTTTCTTAGGAATTATATAAATTTCTTTAATTTATCTTGCGGGCTTTGTTCGATGAGGAAGATTAGTCGGTGCATTGAAAAAATGTACGTGTAGTATGGATGGCTGCTGGAAAAATGTTAAACTCGATGATTGTTAGTGATTCGTATTTTTTGAAAATTCATGATTATTTTGTCTTTGCTATTGCACAGGTTCGAAATGGAGATCTCGCCTGGCGGGAAGCCAAAAGACAATTAAGAAAAGATCACAGGTGGGAATTGGCTGAGAGTTTAGATCGTGAGGAGAAAGAGCGACTCTTCAACGAGCACATTGAACAACTTGGCCGTAAAAAACGTGACAAGTTTCGTGAACTTCTGGACGAGGTCGGCGCCTCGACGGAACTTACGGCGTCCTGGCGGGACATCAAGAAATTATTGAAGGACGATCCGAGATATATCAAGTTCTCGTCGAGTGACCGAGTGAGCGAAATAATTCGAATAATTTAAAACATACTATTAATCTCAGAATTTGCATTGCAATTTCATCATAATTTTGATATTGTAGAAATGCGAAAAGGAGTTCAAGGAATACATAAAGGACAAATTGGTTGCTGCCAAAGCTGATTTTCGAGAGTTACTGCAGGTTTGACTTTACTCGTACAATAATCTTTTTCGCGTGATAAATACAGATGGATGGATAACGCAATTTTTATTCGTCAGGAGACGAAGTTGATTACGGACAAGACATACAAAAAAGTTCAAGAGAGTAACAGCTGCTTGGTAGAGATCGAAGAAATTCTACGAAAAGACAGACGATTTCTCGTTTTGGAAGCTGCAGCCGTGGAAAGGACGCGTCTGTTGATGGGTTACTTGGAGGAATTGGCTCGCAGAGGCCCCCCACCACCCCCAACAGCATCAGAACCATCGCGCAGGCCAACAACAAAGTAAGCTAAATGTTTCATTTTCATTTTTTTTTTTTTTTACTTAATGACCCATCATTAATTTTTATTTCTCCTTGTTTCAGTTAATAAAAGGTCTTCGTCGATGGATTATACATAACGCGTCCACGTAATGAAAAGTTATAGCTGTAGTTGGAATGAATCGATTTACAACCTAGACTATTACTACACTGTACTTCTAGGATTCAATAAAATCTAACGCCCATTTCCTCTTCATTTATTTGAATGGAATTCGGTAGTCTTTCATGTATCTCGCTTTCTTCAGATTTCTTCGTATTGGGGGAAGAATCCCGAGGTCCTATCTTCCCTAAAAAAAATCCTCCAACTGGATGCACTTGGGAAACATTTTATTCTTGCTGGCGAGACGAGAAGAAACAAAAAACGGTGAAAGGTTAATGCACTTTCAATATTCGTTTTTATTTTTTTTTTTTTATAAAATACTATACCGATCCCAAGGTTCTCCGGTTTGGAACGAGAAGAAGAACCTTCGCGTGAAAGACTGGAAATACAAGAGCCGGACAATTCTACTCTAGAAAAATGTGCAAAAAGTCGTTATACTACAGTAAGCAAGGAAAGGCAGAACGCGTAGTTGCGAATTTACTACTTGCAAAAATATTTACGCAAGACCACAAGATTTTGGCAAAAAATTACATCAGTGGCATTCTCCACTGAAGAACAATAAGATAACTTGTCCTTTCCCGAAGGATACCCATGTCCATTTGCATTCTTAAAAAATGCAGTCAACTTCATTCTGCTACCAGAAAACCGTACGGTATGTCAAAACAATAGAAACGGTCCCACCACCATAATCACTGGAGAACGCAAGAGGAATAACATATGCGTAAGAGGAAGAAGGAGCGAAGGGAAAAAAGAGAGAGAGAGAGAGATATCAAGAAGAGAAGGGATTATGACATACGACAATACATTTCTTTTTACATTTTCTGATCCCCACCTTCAGTCTTGTGGCTGCCCGGAGAGCTGGACGGCCTCGACGTGCCCGAGCCCGAGTGAAAGTTCGATTTTGCTTTCTACCTCGAATCCCGACGAAATATGTCGGCGGTCTGTGCAGTCTGACCAATCTGAGGATGCACCTTTTATCTATCAGTTTTATTTTTACCGACAATTCGGAATCGTTGCACCCCAATGAGAGAATTCACGGATCCTTCTTGGACGTCGCGCGTGTGACAAAATGAAGAGGCGGTACAGTGCCAAGTTGTATCCGGGTACGACGTGTCGCAAGGTCCTTCTTTGCCTCGCGATACTATACTCCCTTCTCGTAAACTCCCAGCAGCAAGGTAAGCACAGTTATTATTTTAATTGGATCTTCAGAAAATCATTAGCCGTATAACCTGTCGTTTTTCGGTAATGGATCCAACTAGCTATGTTCTTGGTATTAGCGTTGGATTCTTACGTTACTGTAAACCGTTTCTTTCTCGACGCCATCTAAAGAATTCTACAGTATAGTCATGTGTGGGAGATCGGTATGCACTGTAGCGCTATACTTTTCAACACCTTATTTACAACTATCATACGTTTCGTACCTGTTCAAAGTCATTGTTATGTACTTATCATTTTTATCTTATTTTAAATATTGTTCCATTTATTACTGGCTCGATCCAATCATTCATCGATTTTGGTTATGAATATTTTATGAGAAATTTTCTCAGGAATTTCACGCTTCGAAAGACATTCGGGTGCTGCTGTGTATCGTGCAACAGATCGATACTATTACTTAATATGAATCATCCTGTAGCTTTGCGGTTTATCACAGTCACCCGTTATACTCCTGCGGTGTCTTAAATGGATACCAGGTATCGAGGTCTCTCGGCGAATAGGCGAATAGTATCAAGAGACACGTTCTAGTCTCGTAAATATTTATTAAAATACTCTGACAACTTAATCAAGTATTTCTTCTTTCGTCATTAAATTTTTTTTTCTTGTCACACGCAATTAAGCCATGTCAGTTTTATATAATCCAACAACCAGAACGATACTTAGGTCTATTTTGGAAGTTCGTTAGTTAAGCGCAGCACGCAGAGTTTCTCCACATAGCCATATACAGTTAGACTTTGAGATTGTAGTGAGACAGTTGAATAACGAATGGCACAATTTTCTATGAGTTTATCATTTCATTGGCAAAACATAAGAATTTAGTCCTCTCATATATTTTTTATTTTATATTGCAGATGCTCGGGAATCATGGAAGAAACTCTCGAGTTTGTTGCCAGCCAATTCGGTGTATGACAAACAAGAATCCATTGAAAACGTCGACGAACAACCCCTGAAAGATGCATCAGGTTCTCCGGGCGAAAATGAAAATAACGTTATGGGCGAGAAGGCATCTCAGGAAGATGAAGAAATTTACAGCGACGAGTATGAGCTTGAACCCCACGTAGATGAGGCTGAAGAATTTGAGAATTCGCAACCGGAAAAGGCGACGAAACCAACAGAAAAAAAATTGTCGACAGATGCTGTAGAATCCGATGGGAATTCTTCTCAGGAGCCTCAGGACTATACAGCGACTAATCAATATGATTCATATTACTATTATGAGGACTATGACAACAATACTCATCCCCATTACGCCACTGTGGACAACGGCGAGTATGAGAGCAATGAAAATTCAGAAACAACTATAGAAATCAAAGAGACGATCACTGAACCTACGCTCCCGGAGAAAGCATCCTCGATGCAGGGAAGCGACAGGCACTACGTCGTCGCTGAGGTACCACGGGATCCTCAGGACTCATTGAATCTGGACAAGTCATTCCTGATTGGCGAGGCCGTCGTGTCGGTGGTGACGACGAAGAGTGTTGTCAATGGGACCATTTCTGTGCCTGTGACGGCACTGCCTATGACGACCCAACAGATTCTGGCACCACCGACGAACTTCAAGATCTCGTCTAGCCCAGAAACTGAAAATGAGGATGCAGATGGTATGCGTTTTTCTACTTCCGCCTTGATCGACACCACAGAGAATTCAAGAATTGTCGCTTCCGTACAGACCAGTCGCAGCATTTCCGGCGCTAGGTTCCTTCCCTTCCCGGTTGTTGAGCAGGTCGAACAGGTTGCTCCTGGAAGTGGCTCTAAGAAGACTTCCGGTTCGGTAGAATCGACCGAAAGCATCATAGATAAATTGGATAGAGTTCAGTCTGAGCTCTCCAGTGGATTTTTGACTGGTGGTTTCAGAACTGCCGGAAATACGCTGCAGCTGGATGTTCTGAATGAGCGGGATCAGTCTAGAAGGAGATACACCACAACCGGAAGGACACCGGTTATCAGTAAATTCGTTCCCTTTCGCTATAATTCTAATAGAAAGACCACTACGCCGAGGAGCAGAGTTCCAGAGAAAACTGTCGACAGTTTAGATGGTTTACTCCCACCTGATTTTCCTACTAACAGGGCTTTGTCCGCCATTGGCAGAAGTGCTGTCAAGGGTTCTTCATTCAATTCTACATTGAACAATCAAGGAAAGAATAATCCTAGACCTTCGGCTAAACCAAAGAGCACTGTTGTTCAGGATTTGACTGGTCTTCTTCCACCTGGTTATAAATTGAAAAAAGAAGACACTGCCACCACTGAGAAGAATCTGCTGGCTGAGATCTTGTCAAAGTCTCAGAAAAATATTAGCAGCAATCGCTCTTCTTCGGTGCAGGATGTAAGTGCTTTCCTACCACCTGGTTATAGGTTGAGAAATACTGAGTCAACAACAGAGAAAAATATTCTTAGTGATATTTTGGCAAAAACAAAGAAAGAGAATGCTAACAGACCACCAGCCACGCCAGATCTGTCTGCTCTTCTGCCACCTGGTTACAAATTGAAGAAGGAAGATTCATCTGTCACTGAGAAAAGTTTACTGAGTGATATTTTGGCCAAATCCAAGGTTGATATCTCTGCTTTGCTTCCTCCTGGTTACGAGAAAAAAGTGAATGATTCAAAGATCACTGAAAAACCTAACAATTCTCCAACAGAAAAGAGTCCAGGAAAATCGATCCAGGATCTCTTTGCAAAATCGGATTCTGATATATCTGCCCTGCTACCTCCTGGTTATAAGGAAAAGTTTGGAAATAATAATCAAGCTAAGAGTAACTCTTCGCCTCCTATAGCCACAGAATCTCCAGTAGTATCTACGACCAAAGCTGGTGGTCTCAAAATCGTATTTCCAAGTAGACCTGGCGGAAGAAAACCGATACAGAGGATCACTACACCACATCCGGTCAGAGGAGAAGCACCCGGGGCATTCACCCCCAAGATCCAAAAAGGATGGCCAACCAGGTGATCTACAGTTCATTTTAAATTGTGGAAAGCCAAGTGGCAGACTTGAGTTGTTAAAAATTCTAATATTCTTCTAGAGCAACCACTGAATTTACCGGGTGGCCATCTTCTTCAACAACTCCAATATCTATTGAGAAACTTTTGGAAGTAGCTAAAACGGCCACCGTTGGTACCATTGGCGCTTCCAGCAGTTTGGCACCTAGTGCGGCACCTACAACCTCCACTACCACAACGACGACGACCACTCCTAGACCCACTACTCCTGGAACTTGCGAGGAAGAATGCGAACTTGCTGGAACTATTCGTATAGTCGGGAACACGACTTGGGTGCCAGAGCTGCTTGATAGGAACACGCACGAGTGGCAGGAACTTGCTGATCATGTCGAAAGAGAAGTAATTTTCGTTAATTTATTTAGCAACAATGAGAGTACACAACAGAGTTAAAGAAGAGTATTAAAAAAATGGTTATTTGTTCTACGCAATTTTATTCTAGATGAACATCGTCTTCTCGAAGTCTGATCTATTGCGGAAATGGTACAGGAAAATCAGAATCGACTCTTTCAGGTGGGTCTATCGGCTTACGAGCATTTGAACCGTTCAATCAGAACGTGTCCAATCGGCCATGTAATGTACCGTTCGATTTGCGGATGAATATCCTTCATCAGATTTTTTTCCTCTACGTCATTAAGTTACCAAGCGAATTTAGCAAAGTACCGTAAGCTTGTCTAAAGAATAGTTGACCCTTTTATTTTTTCTTTTCATCACAGCCAAGGAAGCATTCTGGTGGATTATTTCGTGGAACTGGCTGATCTTCATGAGAAAATCAATACGCAAGAATTAAAAAGGATCTTCCACGATTCCTTGACGACTGACAACATCAATCAGGCCGATGACGAAAGAGTAAAAACACAATTGAAACTTGGCTCTTTTGCCATCGATCCAAAATTCACGGATTTCATTGGTAGGAATTGCATTGGTTACGAAAATTTTATACAATCGATTCATGGATTAAATAATTGATATTTTCTCTAGTTCTGCCAAAAGTCAATGCTCCTCTGTACACAGAGAATAATGACACTCTGATACCCCAATGGGCAATAGCAGTAATTGTCATTGGTGTTGGAGGATTATTGTTCATCATAGTCTTCGGTGTCTCTGTTGTAAGTGAACAACAACAAATTTTACTCATAACAAATAATCAAACTCTATTCTTGCCTAATAAATATTTTTTTATTAGCTAATAAATCGACAAAATGTCACTAAACTCAAACCGACCATATCCACCGTGTATGAGGATAGTGTTGCTAAAAATATGATTCACGGCAACCACAACGCACCTATTCAGCGATCAAGCGATTATTCTAAATCAGAAACAACAACTATTTGGAACGACGTGGACAGCAGTTGGAATGAGAAATCATACGAGTCGACTTCTAACAAAGTAAGCTTATTGAATTATTGTTCGGTGTGAATTGGTATTTTCTCTGGTCTGTGTAATATAAACGTTCATTATGCATTTAATCACTATAGATTTTGATGGACGGACCCATTCACGATGACAAAAGATACAATGTCTACGACAGCTGGCGATCCGAATGGAATGGATATTATTACAATCCGTCGCAGAGCAGTAGCAGCAAATTTGCTGGCTACGACAGCACCACAAATTTATCTCGGCATCATCCTGATTATGACACGAATTTTTAAATTGGACCAATAAAGCTACTACCTTTGAAATCCTTCTTTTCAATCGCCCTCAGTTAACGTGGAACGTGATTTCATATTTATTTATCGTTTTTAAATATTTACAGAGTTTAGAAAATTATGTACAGATGTTACATTCAATGGTTATATTAATTCAAAATAGCTTCTTGTGGCTTCATTACACTTTTTTTGAACTATTATTTTCAGCATTTACATGACGCTTAACGATACTCAGGACTTTTTGATAGAGGAAGGATTGTCTGTCAAAAAAACAAATAATTCTTTAAGATGACCATTACTTCATGGAAAATGATAATCTGTCATAGATTAGTAATTTACCGGTTTGCTGGTTTACATATTGAAAGGTGGTCCTGTGGAATTTCAAAAAATTCTCCCACTCCAGGATCTGAAATATTGCTGCACTATTTTAAACAATTGTTCGAATTTATATCAAAACCACTGATCGACCAATCAAGTAAATCTTACCTGCAGAATTAGGATTGACAAATTGAAAAGGAAATTTCAAAGCAGTGACAAGCGTCGATTTCGTTTCGCTGAAACTCACAATATCCATAGTGTAGTTTTTCAACATACGGATAAACTCGTCGTGCAATTGCAGCAGTTTTGGGGACTCTGAAATACCGAAATACCCCAGATCGATTTTATATTTCATTAGTTTCTCCTCCTTACTGCATCTTTTAAATTACCTTCGCGCAATTCTTGCACTTCGACCGATGGCCAAACTAACATTTGCGTAGTTTGCGTTAACGCGGCAACATGGGAACCGCGATGCGGAGTACTATAGAATACGATACTACGAGTATTTTGGCACAGATTATGTTTGTCACCTTGTTTCCATTCTATATATGGAAAAAAGAGATAGAAAACATTATCTTCTACGTACGAATAAGGCGATTGAATTGGGATAAAAATGGATGCTGACCTTCAACCAGCATTTTTTTAACGAGCAAACCACCCATCGAATGACAAATCCACACTATCGGCTTTTTCCCAACACCCGCCATTAGAAGTTTCCTTACAAATTCTTCACTTCGTTCGTCAATGGTAGTCCTAGACATAATCTTTTTCTTTAATTTTGATATTACGCGATTTCGGCATAAATTGGTGGAAAACTATGAAGTATCAACTCACTTTAGGCCTTCGATTGGACAAAGCGGAGTCCACATAGATAAATTAGTGTCATAATTTATTCCTATTACGCGTAAGGATGGTACATCCCTAGGAAGCCAGTCTCGCGGCCAACACTCAGTTCTGGCTATTCGATCACGTTCCGCTTGTTCCATACAGACATTATCCCTAAACGTTAAAATAAAATTGTGGTGCCAGAGCGTCAGTTTGAGCTATCATACATATTAAATGAATTCTATCATCTATTAAATCTACATCTATTAAATGAATTTGATTTACCCTCGGCAAGTGAAGGGACCGCAGGCCCTGCAATTTGTATTCTCTGGACAGTCGTCCAGTATTACTTCAAAATCTTCACCGATTTTCTTCCATTCTCGCATTCGAAGATCGTGCGCAAGATCCTTTAAGAATTCCTGAGGAGTCTCAGCAAGCATGGATGTGAAAGCATCCGTGCCGCAGGGTGAATGAGCATCTGCTGCGAGAGGATTGAAATATACTAATTCTTGTTTTTTTTAGTCTTTACAGACAATCTTTGCTTTTGGGAAACTTACTCACAAATCCTAGTGTGGATGTGTCAGGATCGCGTTGTCTCCAAGTAACAAAAACTCCGCCTAATAAGCCGTGAACGAAGACAACGTCTAACTTTCGTGCAGATTGATTTCTGTGTAAAGGATGAAGCACATAAATTCGACGCGCATATTTCTCGTTTGATGCATCTTGTATATCCAAATTTGCAAGTGCACGAGCTGCCGTTGCTGACAGCCGCAAATCTGGGTTTTGCAACCATTTTGCCAAAATTCCGATCCATCCTGTACGATGAATGAAACAATAATTGTATTGGAATCTGAGACAACTGGTTCCCCCCCTAGATTAATGACGATAAAAAGTTTTTTGTACCTGATCGAAAAAGGTCATTCAGGTATTCTTCGTGTAATGATATGTTGGAAATTATTTTCGCAAGCAATATGCAAATATTTATGTTGTCGCCAACAAGTTTTTGGACATTCATCAATATAGGCAAACCACCAGCATCGACGATGTCTGCAGAGTGAAGTTGATGGCTTAGTATTTAATTTATCAATTTTTCAATGATGTCACCTTTACTATGCTGATCTAAAGATGAATGATGATGGATCGCTTGAACGCAACTATATAACAAATCTTGATCCCAAATTATGGCTGGTGGCACAGCAAGTCCGACACTTGTTAAATCATGATCAAATATCAGTCCATCCTGTGGAGTATACAAGCTTATTTTCTTTTTCATTTTAAGGATTTCTGGAGCTTACTCACGCGATGAGTATCATGGAATTTCTTGTTTAAAAATTGAGTTAGGCACGGATGACAACTTTGGCAAAGACTGTCCAAGTCGAGCAGTAAGTAATGCAAATTCTCAATTACATCCTGCAATTTAAATGATGGTCAAAGTCTGTATCAATGAATTCAGCTTATTTCATATGATAGTCAATGATTTATAACATACATATAGTTTGTGCTTCATGTGGTAATACGGTGGTCTAAGAAAAAATCTCAAATCTACATTTGGCATTCGTGCAAGAGCAACTGCAGTTTTAGCATCAAGCATTTGAGCCATATGCCAATAGTGCCAATCTGAAATATTGTTATGACATGATCCATTCCATTGCATCCGTCCTTATTATTCAAATTACCTTTCAAGTGCTTTAGACGACTAAGTGAATATACTGCTTTTTCTCTGTCGCTAGCACAACCATTTTGTGCTAAATCAAGTAATTTGTATGCTAGATTACGGTTGAGAGATTTCCACCATTTAGTGATAATATAAGTGAGAGTACGAGGCTTCTCCGCAATGGAAGCACGTAAATCTTCCTTATTTCGGAACATAAGAACATCTGCAAAATTTCAATACTTTCTATATTACATAGCTAATTAAGCATTTTTGATTTGAAATCAATCCATCAAAGTACTCCTTCCTTAAAGACACATCTGCGCCTAACAGGAATCTTAACATCTTCTAGTTTATTCTATCAATAATAAAATAAAAAATTAATGAAAATCCCTGAGTAACAATGGTAACCTTTGAACCGCGGATCATCAATATAAATATATTGAGCTTGAGATTGCTCCAAATCCAAAACATTGGTCGTTACGGATGATCGTAAAATTTGTGAAGTCTGACGAAGTTGATACAGGAACCAGCATCCCCTGTAAAGCATACATGGCAGCATTTCCGAGGTGTGAACTTCAAAAACTCAAGATGAAAATTTAAGAAAAATGCTTCTTCCTACCCCACAACAACCACACAAGTCCCTGTCGATTTTAAGTAGTATATATATTTCTTATAAATCTGGAGCTTCATTGTACTTTTCCAAATTACGAACAATTCCTTCAACTATCAAACTGAACGTGCGAAGCTTTCATCTTCATTCGAAGAACTGGTCGACATTGCCATTACCATTTGGAAATAAGAATTTTATGTCTTAATGTATCCGACTCGGTGAGATTTGATGACTTTTTGCTCATCATTTAATGTATTAAAAATATGGCTGAATCCTCAAATGTTCCAATCACTCTACAGTCAACAAATTTCAACAATTTTGAATAAAGGTTACCGAAAGCATTTTGCTTAAGGAATAAAATAAGAGGAAATAGAAGCAAAGAAACGGTATCGCCATTCACCGTTAAATTTATCTATAGTACCAACAGAAATTCCAAATCTTTCACTGTCGTTTCCATATAAGCGTACTTTCGAGTTTTGGGACTAACCAACAGAAGGCGTTACTACTGAGATAGCTAGTAGGATTTCAAGATTGAATATAATGAATGAGTTATCAAAATATATGTATTAATTTACAAGTAATTACTCTTATTATAGTTGGATTATAATTTAAGTAAAGTATTTAAATGAATTGACTGTCACGAAAGCCTTAAAATGACCAAAATGAGTAGGGCCCGAAACTTGGAGGCACTGTCGACGCGATCGGGCCCAATGCCTATGCAAACCAGCCCATACGGTTTTAATGCGGTGTTTTCGAGGAGCAACTCTTGTACAACGTCTGCAGTCTTTTCCAGTCTTTTCGCTCTACATTCTGTAGCGTGCAGTACGTCCGGCCAAGAGTACTGACGTTTCGTTGCGCCACTCGCATGGCCGACGTGTGCATTCCAAGGCATAAAATCGCGTGGTATCCACTGTCTAGTGACTGTCCTCCCATAATCAACCAATAGTAAATTATAATTGGCTCGGTGAAGGAAGGTAAGAATCAACGTGGTTTAGTGTTTCTTAGGTGGAAAGTAACGCCCGTGTCCGCATTTCCATGTTCTGCCTGACATAATCCGGTATGAACTGGATTTAACCAGATTCGTCGATAAATCTATTCCTTCTTACTTACAGGCAAATAATTTCCTATACTGGTTTACATATTAGGATTCTGGTGAAATCCTCTACAAGAAGCCTAGACACTACTTTGCTTATTATAGTTTATTCCAATACTGAACCTTCCGATATGTCCAACGAAGAGACTTCTGCTGATCGCAATGTCGAGATTTGGAAGATCAAGAAGCTCATTAAGAGCCTTGAAATGGCACGAGGGTAAGCAGCTTTCACTGTACCTCCTTATACTTTAGGAACTTTATAATATCTTAAGACATATGGCAGATGTATGACAAAGGTTATAGGAATATCGATGCTTCGATGTCTTATTTTGGATAATTCAATTTCAGGAATGGTACTAGCATGATATCATTGATCATTCCACCTAAGGATCAGATATCAAGAGTCAGCAAAATGCTTGCTGATGAATTTGGTACTGCTTCTAATATCAAGTCTCGTGTAAATAGACTGTCAGTCCTTGGAGCTATTACTTCTGTACAGCACAGACTGAAGCTTTATACTAAAGGTAAGTTATGCATGAACGGTGTTTGAAACAATGTCTATAACAGTTTGATTTTCCAGTACCACCAAATGGCCTCGTGATATATTGCGGTACGATCGTAACGGAGGAAGGAAAAGAAAAGAAAGTGAACATCGATTTTGAACCCTTTAAACCAATTAACACGTCCCTATACTTGTGTGATAATAAGGTAAGCTTAACATAACATAACATACGGAGTCATTTTTTAAGATTCTGGATTATTGTTACAGTTTCATACTGAAGCTCTCACAGCATTACTTGCTGACGATAATAAATTTGGATTTATCGTAATGGACGGTAACGGAGCGCTTTTTGGAACGCTTCAAGGAAACACTCGTGAAGTATTACACAAGTTCACTGTAGATCTTCCCAAAAAGCACGGTATGTTTCAACAGAATACGCAAAAACAAATCCTGATAATTGAATAAATTATCACACATATTTTTTCAGGGAGAGGTGGACAGTCCGCACTTCGATTCGCCCGATTAAGAATGGAAAAGCGACACAATTACGTTCGTAAGGTCGCCGAAGTGGCTACTCAACTCTACATCACTAACGACAAGCCTAATATCGCGGGTCTGATCCTTGCCGGTAGTGCAGACTTCAAGACAGAACTTAGTCAGTCCGACATGTTTGATCCCGTACGTATATTTTCAAAAGAGTGAATAATTTTGCATCTGAATTTTAACATTTTCATCGTTTCATTCAATAGAGATTGCAAGGTAAAGTCATTAAGCTAGTGGACGTGTCGTACGGCGGTGAGAATGGCTTCAATCAGGCGATTGAACTGGCCGCGGAGTCCTTGCAGAACGTAAAGTTCATCCAGGAGAAGAAACTCATTGGTCGCTACTTTGATGAGATCTCCCAGGACACGGGGAAGTATTGTTTTGGTGTCGAGGACACTCTTAGAGCGCTAGAACTAGGAAGCGTCGAGACGCTCATATGTTGGGAGAACCTGGACATTCAACGATACGTATTAAAGAACCACACGAACGCTGAAGAGAAAGTACTGCACCTCACGCCGGAACAAGAAAAGGACAAGACCCACTTCACGGACAAAGAGGTACGTTTTTTTACTTGAACATCAACTCGACCAATTTTTCAGAATTAAAGTCATACGAACAATTTTTACCCCTATCTCCAGAGTGGCGTGGAATTGGAATTAGTCGAATGTCAACCCCTTCTCGAGTGGCTTGCGAACAACTATAAGAGCTTCGGTGCGACCCTAGAGATCATCACTGATAAGTCTCAAGAAGGTTCACAGTTCGTCAGAGGTTTTGGTGGTATTGGAGGTGAGTTAATAATTTATCATTTTTTAAAAATAATTCTCTTACGTATTAAAATACTGACTGTAAGAATACGAGGGTGCCCACAGGCTGCTATAAGATCCTATACTTAAGGATAAATTGACAGTAAAACAAAAAAAAAAGGATAGATAATGTCTGTACTACCGCTTGTAATTCGTACTAAATTGATGTTTTACTAGCCGGATGAAAAAGGGTCATTCGACGAAATAGAAAAAGGGAAAAAAAGAAAAGAATCATGAAAAGAATATGAGAATCGTAACGTATCGCCTCTCGCTCGACATCGTTATTAATCGTGGAGTATATTTTCCTACGTAGGAATCCTCCGCTACAAAGTCGATTTCCAGTCACTGCAGGCCGACGAGCCTCTTGATGACGTTGACCTCGATGATTACTAATTTCATCCGTCAAATACTCAAAAAGTCGACCAGGTAGTCCTTTATCTGTCTTGAGTGCACTCGTATCATATCTTCGTGTAACGTAGTATGCATCGTTTCGAATTACTTTCAGTACTGGTTATCTTATTTATATATATATTTTTTTATTGTTTCTCCACTATTTCTTACCCATTTCTTTTCGCTCTATCTATCGACTATACATTTGTCATTCTCTTGCTCTTTAGGATTTGAACGACTTTACACGGACATATAATTAACTCATCAGATGAAACGTCTAATAACTTTCATAATTTAATTTGTCTCGCATTTAAAGTTTTAGCTCTCACGAAATTCTTATAGCATTTCATATCTTCTCATTCTTTCTTTATTTTTCCTTATCATGAAGAAATCACGCATTTTTTAAGTATCATGCTGTGATACTTCTAACTCGTGTGAAATTAGTTTGATTATTATTATTAAAAAGCAATTAACAGGAACACATATTGTTATTCGTCGTAATTTTCTTTTGTGTTGTAGTGGGGAAAGTAGATTCAGAATGGAGTAAAAGAATCATTAGGAAGTGTCTTGAAAAACTCGCAATTTCATTGACTACGTGAAAATTAATTGACTCTCTACGGTTTGAGCCATAGAAATGAAAATTGTGTAATCATTTCATATAAAAGTCATCTCACCAGCAAAATATTTCAAATAAGTTTTCCTTCGATTCATGCTTGCTCTCTTTCTGTTCGTACGGCCCACGTTTGGCATGGTAAGCTTTTATAGTTTGTTAATCGTGTTTTTAGTTGTCTCGCTGAACATTTGCAACCACTTTCAAACCACACAATCTGTATTCAACACCCTGTATGAAACATCCAGTTGTAGATTTGAACTCAGCCTAAAGTAGAGTATACAGTTATTAGAATTTGTGAAAATTTTATTATTATTTTCGTTTGGCAATTCCACTCCCAATGGACAGAAGACAAAATGATTATGTGGATATGATTTGCGATGTAGACATTTTTGTGATAAGTCTTGATCAAGTTACGCTATCAGCTTTGTGTTAGCATGTACGAAAGACAGGATATAATATGTTTGGACTTTCGAGGAAAAAAATAATTGTACGTAAGCTCATTGGTAGTGTTGGGTGGGAGGTTGTTGCAAGTTTTGACTTTGGCCAAAGCTTACAGAAATATTTGCCTGGACTGCCCTGATTGGTGAGATGATTTATTGGAAGCAGAGAAATTATTTGCCAATCAGTGCCCCAGTTGGCTTGTCAAATGGTGATATACTTCTCTCCAGGCTCTACTTATTAGTTACTAGGCACTTGTTAGAGTTAGCAGATTTTGAAAGGATATTGATTGAAAGTACTAATTAACATTTTGTTCCCATTAGCTCGCACATTGGGACAGGTACAGTAATTGCTTATTATTAAAGGTACCCATGTTCTGAAATATCGAAGCAGACATTAATGCAAAAGCTGCACCATCGAATAACTAAAGAATGTTTCTTGATTGTAACCACTTGATAAGTGATTGTGTTGAAGACATATTCCCAAGACCCATTTTCATTTAGTCCTTCGATTCATCGACATTGTCATTCTTTTACCAAAGCCTTCGGCATCATCGATTTGCTCTCGATATGTTATTCATATTAATCACTATCCAAAAGATACGAGCATGCCTATAGTATTTTTAATAAAGAAGTACTGAAGCTGTATTAGAAGACACGATCGAACATTACTAACGAGATCGTGCAAGAAATTTCGTAATTAATGATAAAGTACAGATCCGTCATTAATAAAAGAAATGTCATCTCTTCTTCTAGGTATTCTGCGGTACAAAGTGGACTTTCAGAGCATGCAGCTGGAAGACATTGAGTTCGACAATTTCGATCTGGAAGATTATTAAAGAAGTAAAGCGAAGGCGGGTACTCGGTTCATTTTAGCTTCAGGAGACTACGACACACAGGAAGAGAGGAAGCAGACAAGGAAGAAAGAAAGACAAGGCGATATAACGACAAAAGAACAACATGAAAATTCAAGAAAAACGCAAAGATAAACGCGCATTGGGTGTGCAATGAACAATATGAAATTTACTGTTTCTCCTGAGCGCTAGTATTTCAGTGTGATTAGAAAGCGGTAGAGAAGAGAAAGGATAAATTTTCGTTATTCAAAGAAAGATGCCGGTAGGAATCAAAAGCGAGTCGGAGAAGAACGTGCGAATGAACGATCGTCTCAGCACGGAGATGAAATAAAAATTCACAAAATCGCGTATTGGTGAGGGAGAACAATAATATAATGGAGCAAGTATCATCATGCAGTCTTCAAGTCATCCAATCACATTTCGAGGATTTATAGGAACCATCTGCGGTTGGTACTCCTGTTCGGTTTCTCTCTGCCTTAAAAATATGTGGCCCTGTGCAATCGAGATTAATCCTAAATGAGATAATGGCGAATTACAATAAGTCCAACTAGGAGGGAAAGAGAAGAAGACGCGCTTCCCTCGAGGACTGCAACCCTTAATTAAGCCAGCTTGATACCTGCCTATTAGGTGTTAAAAAAAAAAGGAAACAGAACGTGTACCATGCGTCTGGATTATTCTGTAAACTTCGAGCGTTCGCTGTATAAGCTCTCATGAGATTCCCATTCCTGGCTTTCTCAGAGAATACATAAATATATAGATATATATATTTATAATTAAACGATTGCTGCGAGGTCACCGTGTAACGGAAACACGTTGTTTCTAAAGACGTGCGGCACCGCGTGAATTTTTATATTCCTTTTGAAATCACTGTTTTGAGTGCCAGTAAATTCTGGTTTACCGCGGGGCGAATATGTCTAACAGGTACTAGATTAATATGACCGTCGTCACGTGGAATGATTTCGGATTCTATTGCTGTTGCCGTTTTTATTAATCACGCGGTACGGCATGAAATCTTATACCGTTCAATATGGACACAGTATGCACGTCAGTGTTTCAATATAATTTATCGCTCATGTCGGTCAAATAGAAAGAAAATAAGTCCTGAGTAAACCCTTGAAACCATCTGGTTACGCGCGACAGTATTAATCATACGGTATCGCACGAGCTTTTGTATTAGAAGCTGTTTGGTGACGCTCGTTGATCAGTTAAACTCCGGTGGGTCGTGGCTTCCCTTGGATGATTCTGGTATCATTTTTTTCTTTCTTTTTTCATTTTTTGGGTGTAATTTAAGACAGCAACGGGTTATGCAGCCTCCAATGCGCGGAATGGCTGCTTGCGTTCTCTTCTGTTCGTATTAAAAACAATTAAATCATGGATGAACTCTAATAAATTGATTTCTTTAAACTAAGCACACCTAAGTCCTGTGCGTTACATGTATAAATGGCAAAAATCGAAGACGCACGAAAGAAAGATCTTGCAAAGTTCTTCTTAGATCATATTCAATTTCAATCTACATATACGGATATATTGTATATGCTTATTTCGAGTTGTCATATCTATATGTTGTTCGTATGGATATGATAAGTTATTGATTAGAGTTGTGCGTGTCACTTCAACTCCATTGGTTGTGTTCAATTGAGTTGCAGTGGTTGAAAACGAGAAGTTGGGTTGGCTTTAATGGACTGAACATTTTCATGCATCTGGTGCATACCTATTCCTGACGCAGTTCTGTTTTTCTACACTCACTATACATGTAATTAAGAGCCCTCGTCGATAGTTTTGATAGTTTATTTATTTTACAAGCTTGGCAGCTCTAGTTATCATTTTAAAAAAGACCACCGGTGAACCGAAAGTTTACAATGTCGACGTATATCGAGCGACAATATATGATCTCGTCTGATTCACAAGCGAACTCTATCAGTTTTTTTTTGTCATATGTATTCCTTCTTACGTTTTATGCAACAAAATGTTCGACTCGTCAATTTGTTTTTCATATTTGACAGACAGATTGAACTATAATAAAACAAGAACTTTGAATGTAAAGTTAGAGGAGAAACGAGATTCGAAAAGCTTTCATTCTAAAAGATTTTACTAGATTGGATAATATTTTGTACATATGTAATACACGGTACATGTGTCGCATGTCTTTATAATTTATTGTCATTTTCTTTTAGTCGTATTAAAACATTCTGGATATTTAAAGTATTTCTTAAAGAATTAGGAATATTAAGGTTTTCTATGCAAAATTAACAATGACGTCAATTTACTTCCGGCACCAAGAGATCTAAATTAGCGTCTTTCATTGCGGAACCTAGGAACTTTTCTTCGCCACCACGGATAGACAAACTAGTTCCGGGTATTTGAATTCTCTTATTATCCATCATGGCTGCTCGCATCCAATTGGAACTACTGCATTTTTGACAACTTCTCGAAGGAATTCTATCCAAACTAACAGTCCTGTTTCCGCAATCGGAACATTTGAAAAATCTTTTGACAGCGTCGATCACTCTTAATGGATGTCTTTGCTCCTTGCACATATCTGAACTTGAAAACGCAGTGTATTTACAAATAAGGCACTTCACAGCTTTGCAATCGACCTGATAGGTCGACATCATCTTCTCCTCCATCTTCTCTTTCACCTCTAATTTGTTAAAGTACTTTTCCTGCTCTTCATCCCTTGATTTTTCTATCAGATCTGTGTGTGCCGAGGTAGCTTTAATCATTTCTTGAAATTTATCAGACAATACGTTTGATTTTTTCACCTTGCGTATATCTTGTTTCTCTTCATCCTCTTCATCCTCTCTTCTTCTCTTTGTAACCTTCTCTATTTTCTCATCCTTAGTCATGCGTACCTTGTTGGGGTTGGACTTTTTAAATGAGCCTTTCTCTCTGACCCATTTTAGAGCATTCATTTTTGCCAAGTCCATGTGCTTCTTTGCAATAGGCTCTGAGAAGTCGATGACGCCACCAGAGATGCCGTTTCCCAATTTTGGAATTGACAAAGCAGAGAGCTTAGATAATCCAATGTTTTCATTGCTCTTGTTTTTTACTTTATCATTGATCAATTTAGTTTCCGGTGTTCCGAATCCATTTGCTTTTTCCAACATAGGTGTTTGTGTACTGCCCCATGCTCTAAGCTTACTTAAACGATCCAAGTCCTTCTTAGCTTGATTGGTGGTCCTTTCTACCATATAAGATTTCTTCTTATTCTCCTGTTCGTTATCCATGACATGGACTTTCTTTTCTGACAAACTGACATCACTCTTCAGCAGAGCTAATCTGGCGCAATCTTTATCATGTAATTTTTGATTCCTCTTTGCAGGCACCAAAGTCATATTTTTCTCAGAAAATGAGTTCAATCCTGATCGTGAAGCTGTTTTTTTTAAAGCATCCATAGAGAATCCACGATTATTAAAATCCGATTGCAATTCCGTTCTTTTCGAGCATTTTTTGTACTCTCTTTTAACATGATAGATGCAATATTCACATCTATTTTTATTCACAATAGATGTGCAGGGTTCACCATTTTTTTTCATAGACTTGCAAGTGCCCAAATCCTTTGAGTTTCCCAGAATCATCATTTTTTGTGGGTTGTCTATGCTCAACGCAGCTTGATCAGTTTTGCTATCATCATCAAATACGCCAGGATTTAACACGCCAATAACAGATCCTGTTGAGGTCTTCCACATGAGTTTATATGCATTGCCAAATAAAAATAATGAAATAGTGTTCATTGCATCAGTGAGGTCACTTAGTTTCCAGATACAGTACTGTTTGCCTTTTTGTGATGTTTTTGGTGGTAACTTATTTGTAAGAACACCTGCTATTACCCAATCCGAATTAACATTACCTGTTTTCACAAAGTTTTTTACTTTGGAAAGAGGCACTGGAGTTCTATTTACCATTCTTTCTTTAAGCTCAGCTGATGACACCAAAGGCTTAACAATTCGGAGCCCAAATATTGGATCAGTATACACATCTGTAGATGTAGAAGGTGTATTAGTTGGTCCAGTTTTATTAAAATCAAATGGTTCTCTTTTTGCATTTGCAATGAAAGATTTTCGTTTGCTCAAATCAAAAGTTTTATTTGATTCTTGTAATGGACCTCCTCTATCTTCTTTTTCAAAAGCTTGATTTTTCAATAAGGACTTCACACTATGGCCAGATTCAGAATATTTTTGTTTGTCAAAATACCGTTTACCTTCATCATCAGAGGAGTCTGTATCACCCTGATGAACTAGTCCGATAGACTTTTTAGGAGACTTTGATTCATCTTTTGATGGAGAAACACAATCCAAAAATGAAAACTCTAGCTCTTTCAAAGAACTTTTGGCAGTAGTTAATGTGGACTTTTGGGTATCACCTTTGTCACAATTTATATCATCCTTGGACTCTTCATCATTAGCTAGAAGATTATCCAGAATATCTCCTAAATCATTGTCGCTATCGTCATCCATATTTAATTAATTTGCTTAAAAAAGCTGAAAAACAAATCCATCTTTGAGTGCACTGGTAGTACAATACGTGTCATGTAATAAATGCTCGCTACGTAGAAAATACTAAAATACTTACTAAATTATCGTTATAAATACTAGATCAGCATACGAACTGCACTTAAATAATTATTAGCACTTTCATTAAGTGGCACATTAGATATATGAATTTCAACTGAGAAGCATTCTTGAAATTTACAGATCTATCTGCTGACTGACAGCCCACATAACTGGTTCCCGCCCAAATAAGCGGGCCACTGCCACACGGAAGTTATATATATATATATACAAGTCACAAGTGGCGCTTTTCCTGCAAGAAATTCCATTGTACGTTGGAATTTTTCAAAATAAAAAAAAACCAAACGCATTTTATTTTATTAAACATTATTAGCACACCCCACAGCGTTATCATATTTACTGAGCTCTAAACTTATAATCAAGGTACAGACAATGCTCTACCTATTTAAAATACTGTACACATATGTTATCAAATATTCCAACGAAACAAAAGTACTTGGTTACAACGTACACGGCAATTGCCGTCGAACTTTCTCATTCTGAGTCCGTCTTTCATACAACATAAAATCCTGCAAAGCTGTCATTCTTTACTTTTCTGCATGTCTCTTGCCTATAGTACATCCTCTTCTATTTGAATCAGAGATGAGTAGAGAGATGCACAACGTTATAGTTTTAAGCAATACTAAAAACATGGCGCTGAATCGTAACGGTGAGTATGGAAGTAGAATTTTGAGATCATCGTCTCCATCGATAATGCATATCCCGTCGTAGCCGAGCTGACCACGATTACGAACGTGTCGCTTGGCGAGCAGAGGCTCTCCGCTACTTCCCGGTTGTTTCCAAAGCAACACTTAGAACGACGCAGCTCATCGAATATAGCCGAAATACTTTTTTTCTTTGCAATCCTAAATTCGATCGCACAGTGTAAGCTCGGTAAGTTTAATATGACAAAAGCAAGCAACTCATGTCTGCCTGCACTGAAGCGTATGATGCCACAAGCATATTTAATACATATTTTACCGATGTTGCGTAGCAGAACGATTGTTGAAACCTATCGGGAACTGTAGAACTTCTCGAGAACTATTGAAAAAGCCTATTGTTGAATCATTTTTAAGAGATTTTATAAAAGTGCGGTGCTGGAGTTGACATCCGTGTAGCACCTCCATTTTTTTAATGTTAATATAATATGTATTATATGTATTAATATAATATGTATAAATATGTATTTTAATAGAGAGTCCACAGTGTTCTTCTCTCGTCAGCGCGCTATAAACGCGGAATTGGCAAAATCCAGAAGACTCGCGTGGACGAGGAAAAATTATTTAGTACACAGCAAAATCTGCGGTTGATCACTCGGAAACAAGAATAGCTGGAAATATAGTCAGACACTACCGCGCAGCATGGGAACACTTTCGGAATGCATCACCAAAATCTCGCACAAATATAAGTCAGATCTATGCTATACTTCCGGTATCCGCTGAGTATAGCAAATTTATG